AGAGAGAGAGAGAGAGAGAGAGAGAGAGAGAGAGAGAGCATGCACATTGTGTATTGCAAATAGAAGAGGGGCTGGTAGTGGCAGTTTTGATTTTTAAAATGTAGATATCTGCATTTGTAGGAGACCCTCACCAGGAAAGATGATACCATTTACAGATAAGCCTGCTCACATACAGCCTGTTCTAACTTCCCTTCTAGACACTATACAGATAAAAAAGGGGGTGATTGTGGAGCCTCTCCACTTCTCTCTGCATTCCTTGGTGCCACTGTGAGTATACTTGCATGTCCTATACAAACTGCATGTTCAGATCTTATAGCATGAGCATTTTCTAGAAGCCACAAGTGCAGTACTTCTGTTTTTTATAGGGCCTGCCAGTGTGTAACTTATCAGATGTGCACTTAAGGAGCAGGGCCGGCTCCAGCATTTCTGCTGCCCCAAGCAAAAAAAAAGCTGCGATCGCAAGGGCAATTGGAAAAAAAAAAAAGCCGCGATCGGCGGCGGCAGTTCAGCGGCAGGTCCTTCGCTCCTAGAGAGAGTGAGGGACCTGCCGCCCCCGAATTGCCGCAGGTGCCGCCCCTCTCCCTTGGCTGCCCCAAGCACCTGCTTGTTAAGCTGGTGCCTGGAGCCGGCCCTGTTAAGGAGACTTTAATGCCAAGACAGGGATCAATACTTGGGCTGGTGGCAACCCCTCCCCTCCCACTTTAAGAGTCTTAGGGTCAGTCCCTGCAGCTCTTTACTCACATGGATAGTCACACTGACAGCAGCCAGACAACACACATGAGCAGGACTTCAGAATTTGACTCTAAATCTCAATTTTAGATTTAGTAGAGTTGTAGCCATACTACGCTAATAGGTTCTTATTGCTAATCTAAGTGCCTTGTGACACACTGTGCAATGTGTCCCCAGCAAAGGGCCAATTTGCGTGATGCTAAGAGCTTCTGTTATGTGCTCCAAGCTGAGAAGTAGAGGGGACACTTTTGAAAGCTGTTGTGTTGCCTTCATTAATACAACTAGACTCAGTAGTAAAAACCTATTCACTTTATTGAATAGCTTTTCCCTTCTATGTTAACACTGAATGGATTAAATTTTTCCAATGTATCCTGACACCAATGCACAAAGTCTTTTGCAAAACCAAATATGGGTTCTTGAAGACTGTCTCTTCTTCAGTTGTTCTAGGGCTGTGGTCAGGAGCATGGAGAGGATCTTCACTAGGCATTACAGAAGGCCTGGATATGAAATTTTTTAATAGGGTTTACTTGATATCTCAATCTATTCATTATATTAAATGGACTGTAATTATGGAGATATCTGTCTGCCTCTCTTCTTATACTGGGCCTGACAACATAATCTCTATGGCCGCAGTTCTGCAAATGAAATTAATAGGCAGTAGGTTTAAAACAAATACAAGGAAGTTCTTCTTCACGCAGTGCACAGTCAACTTGTGGAACTCCTTACCTGAGGAGGTTGTGAAGGCTAGGACTATAACAGCATTTAAAAGAAAACTGGATACATTCATGGTGGTTAAGTCCATTAATGGCTATTAGCCAGGATGGGTAAGGAATGGTGTCCCTAGCCTCTGTTTGTCAGAGGATGGAGATGCATGGCAGGAGAGAGATCACTTGATCATTGCCTGTTAGGTCCACTCCCTCTGGGGCACCTGGCATTGGCCACTGTCGGTAGACAGGATACTGGGCTAGATGGACCTTTGGTCTGACCCGGTACGGCCTTTCTTATGTCCTTAAAGCACGTAAGCACATGCTTATCTTACAGAGTGATTAAGTCCCATTGACTTTAACGATCCAAAGCCTATTGGAGTTGATGGAAGGACTCCCATTGACTTCAATGAACATGGACAGGGCCGGCTCCAGGCACCAGCCGACCAAGCACGTGCTTGGGGCAGCACCTTATAAGGGGAGGTCAATGTTAGGGTGGCGGGGGGCGCTCGCGGTGTTTTTGTTTTTGTTCGGCAGGGCGGCGCTCGAGGGTTTTTTTTTTGCTTCGGTGGCGTGGCGTGGCACTGGGGGGTGTGTGTTTGGGCGGCCCGGTGTGGTGCGGCGCTCCAGGGGGACAGGGGTTTGGGCGGCTCTGCGCTCCGGGGGGGGCGGGGGTTTGGGTGGCGCGGCCTGGCGCTGGGAGGGTTTGGCCGGCGCGGCGCTCCAGGAGTTTGGGCGGCCCGGCCCGGCGCAGTGCTGGGGGTGGCGGGGAATGGCTGGTGCGGTGCAGCGCTCTGGGGGTTTGGACGGGCTGGCCTGGCCCGGCGCGGCACTCGGGGGGGTGGGGCGGGGTTTGGCGGCCCGGCGAGGCATTGGAGGGTTGGAGTGGGGGTTTGGTGGCCTGGCGAGGCGCTGGGGTGGGGCGGGGGTTTGGGCGGCCCAGCGAGGCGCTCGGGGGTTTGGGCGGCCCGGCGCGGCGCTGGGGGTGGGGGTGTTATGGCGGGGCGGCACTCTTCTTTTTTGCCTGGGGCGGCAAAAAAGTTAGAGCCAGCCCTGACATGGATTAGGCTCATAATTATTAACCTTAAGCATGTGTTTATGTACTTTGCTGAATCAGGACCCGTGTCCTGTCAAAGCAAATAGTTTTATTTTGATTAAAACACAAGAACTAGCTAAATATAAAAGGAACTGATTATGAGTCACTGTCTTTGATTTTCTGGGCACAAATGTGCCTTTGGAAACAACCGCAATTATAGTTTGTAGCATGTAGATGTCTAAGTACCTGCTATATGGGTACAGTCTGGTGGTTAGGTGAGATGAGCCATGAGTTTGCCTTAAATTAATTGCAAATGCTAAGCTGTGCCCTCTAAATGTGAGGCTCTTTTAAGAACTGGCCCAAAATATCACATAAACATACACTGTTGTCTCACTTGTACTGTATCTTTAATAAACTAGGAGTAATGGAAAATTTCAGTCATAAGTGCTGTCCACTGGACATTTTTCCGGGCCATAAAATTCACCATTCTCTCATGACAAATTAAAATCTCCTTAAAAATGCAGAGGCCACTAATGTACTTAATTAGCCACTTGCAATTAATCCATGAATAATAAATGTCAATACCATGAAATATATGCTCTTTTTCTTTTAGGTACATTGCTCATTCTACTTGCTATGGTGATTCAGTTAATAACATCATGTCCCTCCTCATGCCTGATATGCTCAGAAAATGTTACTCTGTGTCAAGGATTAACATATATACCAGGTAACTAAGTAAGACACTTCAAGAGAACTGATATTTATTATATACAGTGAGCTCACTGCAATACTCTAATTGTATTGACTGTTTCTGGACTCTGCTTCTGAAAGCAAATCTCTGCACACGCTGTCTAAAGAGTGATAACATTGTTTTATTTCTCTTTGCCTAGCGGCCTTACCAAAACTATTCTAAGGCCTTCAGAGGTAATTGAAAACCTTTGTTACTGAGAAAGGAGTCATTTCATGCAGCGAGACACTTAAAAAAAAAGATTGTTTTAATAAGTTATTGTTCACATATTGTGCAAAGTTCAAGCCTTACACTGGCTGAACGAACTATGGATTGCCTCATAACCCTGCCAGGCAATTCTACAGCATTAGTAAGATTAAGTGATATACCAGCGATAGAGATTAGAATCAAAGTGCATTATGACATTATAATTCTGAAACAATGGTTTCTTTTTATTGGGGCTAAATGAGCTGTGGAAATGCTACCAAGATACGTTGACTGTATTCATTACATATTGCTTGCTTAAGTCAACAATTTAATAAGACACCTTATTAACAAATTTAAACTGAATGTGACTTTCATACTGATGCTAAATAACATACTTTGTTTATTGCTAAAAGCAGCAAATCTCTAACACTAGCTCAGAAAACAGAAAGGCATTATCAGCTTAAGAAACCAGAAGTACTAACAGCCATAAAACTAAATAACACTTGGCACTTAAACCATCTTTCATCCATAGTTCTCAAAGTGCTTCACTAAGGTGGGTAAGTGTTATTAAGTCCAGTTTACATAGGGGAATGCTAAATCGAAGAGAGGTTAAGATCCGGATGTAAAGCCCAGGGAAATCGACAGGCTGCCAGTGACTTGTCCAAAGCCATATAGGCCTTGATTCAGAAAAGTATTACACATGCCTAAGTCCCATTGAATCAGTTAAACATGTTCTTCAGTGGTATCCTGAATAGGGATAGACTTAAGCCAACTTAATTTTCTTGTGTAGACCAGGCCAGAGAAGACTAATATTATTAATATTGCTATTCTATGTTACTGAACATATTACACAGATTGTATTTTGAATTCCCAGAATGTAACATTTGTAGGATCTGATTGTCTAAAGGTGATGCCGTGTGCAATTGCCATAATGTATGTGCAAAGATGGTATTTTGTGCACAAAGGGCTGCTTAGTGTCGAGACACAGGCCTGGTTTACACTAGAAAATTCAGTTGGTTTAACTATGCCACTCGGGAGTGTAAAAAGTCCACACCCCTTGTGACATAGTTAAGTTGACCTAATTCCCAGTGTCGACAGCTCTAGGTCAACAGAAAAAATCTTCCATTGCTCTAGCAAAACCCCTCCCGCCGGCGAAGGTTCTGTGTAAACCGAAGCACTGCAGTGCCACAGTTGCAGCAATGCAGCTGTGCTGATGTAGCATTTCAAGTCTAGACAAGTCCCCAGAATCAAATAAATGGACTGCCAGTCTCTCCATTATCCAGTGTGAGAAAAAACTGATAGGAGCTACATTAGTCGGGCCCCTTCATATTATCCATTGCCTGGGGAGATTGGCAAAGTCCCCAAAAAGCTATGAGCAAAAGATTTGTTTTTACTAAGCAACAAATCTTTAGGGCAAAACAATCTTTGACAGCATTTGCATACTGGGAAGTGCCAGTTTAGGTGCACACAAACCCTGTTATTTACACTCAAGCTGGAGTTCGTGTGTGCAGATAGGTCTTCGTTCAGCCCGCCTGCCCACCCCAACTTGTGGATTCATTAGGCCTATGCACTGGGCTGTGTGCACACCGGAGTCAGAAGAACGTGAGTGCATGCACACCTGAAGATTTAGCCATTCATGTAATGTAGCCAACCAAAAAAGATTACTTTAAAAAGATTCACTCTTATCTTTTTAAGTGTTTGTACAGCACCTTGTACAGTGGGGCCCTGCTCCATGACTGGGTGCCTAGACCAGGGATCGGCAACCTTTGGCACGTGGCCTGCCAGGGTAAGCTCCATTGCTTACCTGCCGCGTCCACAGGTTTGGCCAATCTCAGCTCCCACTAGCCGCGGTTCGCCGCTCCAGGCCAATGGGGGCTGCGGGAAGCGGCGCGGGCTGAAGGATGTGCTGGCCGCTGCTTCCCGGAGTCCCCATTGGCCTGGAGCGGCGAACCGCGGCCAGTGGGAGCTGCGATTGGCCGAACCTGCAGACGCGGCAGGTAAACAAACTGGCCCAGCCCGCCAGGGGGCTTACCCTGGCGGGCCACGTGGCAAAGGCTGCCAATCCCTAGCCTAGACACTACCACATAATTAGAAGTCAGGCAGTCAATAAATGTTTTCTGTTGAAGCAACATATTTTCCTTAATGCAGAAACAGGAACAAACCACACAAACAAAAGTAAAATGAGCCTTCTTTCTATACCATTTTATGTTATCAGAAGCACATTTTTCATTTACTTTATATGCTTGAATGTTACTGTACAGTCTGTTGATTGTCATTTTAAAAACTGTCATAAGAGTCCAATAACTTAAGTATGTTGGAGAGATGCTGCAATAACTTATTGTGATATCGCTTTTATCATGCAAACACTGCTGGACTCCCAAAGATAACATTCCAAGTCACTCTCAGGCAATTATTCCAATTGGATTGACCATAGTTTGAAGTTAAGAGGACGTTTTCCTTTTATCACACAGAGTTTATTTAATGCAACACGTATCCAATAGGGGTCTGTGCTCACCAGCGCATATGGGACTGCCACGTGAAAATCCTCAGGGCATCCATAACAGAAAAGACCCCCTTCATGTTTATTAGTTTTAGTCACAGGACAGGAATGAAGCCTGCTGACAGACCTGTGTGTGGGAAGCGAGCACGGTGCTTTGCCTGCACTATGTCTGGTGCAAAATGTTAGTTTCGCACTTCCATAAGCAATGAAAAAAATTCCTCCCAAAAAAACAACAGTGACAGTGGTAAGCAATACATTAATTTTGACTTCTAGTGGAACAGATGGTTTTCCGTTTCTTGAACAAATATGTCATGTCAGTGCACAGCTTAAAAAATAAAATAAAAAATCTAATGTTCTGATGCATGTGAAATTACATGCAGGTTATGATGAATAACCGAGCACTTAGATGAGCTCGGATGAGGGCTAGCTGGCTGCAATGTAATCTAGACAAGACAGAGATTATGCTGGTGGGTTGGGTGAAGCAGCTGGAAGGGCTGGCGGAATTTCCACTGGTGCCCCAGACTGAGGGAGTGTTGTTACTGCAGTTTGTAACACAGGTGTGCAACCTGGTGTGTTGTTAAATCCTGGGCTGCTCCTGGATGCCAATGGCCAATAGCTTCCCCCCTTCCCCGCATCTATGCCCGGCAAGAAGAATGTGACCTTTTCTCTCTGATGCAGGGACCTTGCCACAATTATCCCCCTTTTTCATATTAAGATTGATTGCTGCAATGTCCACTACACGAGGCCGAACCTTGAGACCACTTGGAAACTGATGCTAATGCAGAATGCTGCAGCCTGCTTATTAAGTAGGGTTTCATGCGGCAAGCGTGTTACACCAATGCTCTGGAGACCAAAACATTTCTGGGTGGAATGCAAAGGGTTGGTATTAACCTTATAAGCTAGTCATCTAATGTAGAGACCTGGCAAATTCCCCATGCACTGGTGCCATAGCTGAGACCAGTGAGGGTACTAGAGCTGGAGTTGCATTGCTGTAACTGGGAGAGAGTTGGCAGCAGGCTGTTCTCCGTGAGGGGCTCAGTCCTTTGGTCCACCAGAGGCTGGATCAGTTAATCATCCAAGTCCATCTTTCCTCCAGGTTTTTGGGGATGGGAGCGGGCTGAGGGGTTTGGGTCTATTTTAATACCCTCAATACATTTGCTGGTGAATATTCATGTACCTGTCAAGCTGGGATGAGCAGTCTTTTATCTCACATTAGTAATTTATTCAAGGGGTGCCTATAAAGAATTTCAGAAATCTAAATAAATAAAATATGAAGCATTTCCTTAAAATCAGAAGAAGTGAAAAAAATTATTTTCCCATCTGTAACAGCCCTTGTTAGTGTTAAGATATTGATTGAGACCCAGCCCATGCCTACATCCTGTAGATAATGCCTCTATTCCTTTTTTACAGCTGCTCCTGTAACCACAAAAGCTTTAATTGTCACTGATGGAAATATCACTTCAGTAGAAAGCTTCGACTTGTCCCTCCTGTTCAACATAACTCTACTAAGGCTAAGTAGCAATAGAATTACAGACATTAAAGAAAATGCATTTAATGGCCTTCGAGATCTGAGGACTCTACTGCTAGACCAAAACCAAATATCGAGCTCTTCTATCAGTGATAATACCTTCAATGAGCTTCAAAAGCTGCAAGTCCTGGTGCTAAGCAACAACGCTTTGAGCAGCATCTATGGGAGCTGGTTCAAAAATATGAAGGGCCTTATGAAACTGCAGCTAAATGGGAATCAGATCACTAATCTTACAGAGAGCAGCTTTGGAACCGCATGTCTTGATAGTCTTAGGAGTCTGGATTTATCTAACAATTTCATTAGTTACATTGAGAAAAATGCCTTCCAACACCTACCTGAGCTGAAAGAAATGGACCTTTCCCGAAACAGGCTGGCGCTCATTCCAGATATGCTTTCTCACCTCCCTCAGCTAATTCTTCTTAGCTTAGATCAAAATCAATGGAATTGTACATGCAAACTGTGTGATCTAGCTTTCTTCTTAAGGAGCTATGTGAATTCTTCAACCAGGTTGCTCAAAAATGCCAACGATATAAACTGCAGAGCTTCCAAAAACCCTGCAGTTCACAATGTGCTTGAGCTAACTGAGGCCAACTGTAACTCATATCCTCAAAACTTTACTGTTAATCTAAAAAACAAAAAGATGAATTCCTATTGGCGGGATGTTACTCTGGTAGCTGTGTTTTGCTTTGTAGGTAATGTATACTCTGGCCCTCTACTTTTTTGTGCACATAAACTTCATATCAAAAAAATACAGGCCATAATTTTCAAACTTGGGTGCCTAATGTTAAAGGCCTACATTTATAGTTAGGCTCTTAAATAAGTGGTCTGATTTTCAGGAGTGCTGAATACGCTCTGATCCTACTTGACAACCGTGGGTTTAGTTACCTAACTTTAGGCACCTAATTTTGAAAATTATGTCCACAGTGTTTATTAATTGGCCAGACTTTTACAAACCTTCATGTTATAAGAACATAAGAATGGCTGCACGGGATCAGACCAACAGTCCATCTAACTCAGGATCCTCTCTCTGATAGTGACCAGTGCCAAATGCTTCTGGCAGTTGGAGGTTTAAGGACACCCACAGCATGGGGTTGCGTCCCGGACCATCTTGGCTAACAGCCATTGATGGATCTATCCTCCATGAACTTATCTAATTTTTTTGAACCCGGTTATACTTTTGCCTTTCACAACATCCTATGGCAATGAGTTGATTGTGCATTGTGTGAAGAAGTACTTCCTTTTGTTTGTTTTAAACCTGCTGCCTATTAATTTCATTGGGTGTCCCTTATCTCTTGTGTTTGTGAAGGGGCGGATAACATTTCCCTATTCACTTTCTCCATATATTCATGATTTTATAGACCTCTTTCATATCCCCCCTTAGCCATCTCTTTTCTAAACTGAACAGTCCCCATCTTTTTAATTGTTCCATGTATGGAAGCTGTTCCAAACCCATAATCATTTTTGCTGCCCTTCTCTGCAACTTTTCCAATTCTAATATATCTTTTTTGAGATGGGACAATCAGAACTGAATGCAGTATTCAAGGTGTAGAGGTATCATGATTTATATTGCCACATTATGATATTTTCTCTTTTTTTATCTATCCCTTTCCTAATGGTTCCTAACATTCTGTTGGCTTTTTTGACTGCTGCTACACACTGAGCAGGTGTTTCCAGAGAACTATCCATGACTCCAAGATCTCTTTTTTGAGTGGTAACAGCTAATTTAGTTGCCATCATTTCATATGCATATTTGGGATTATTTTTCCAATGTGCATTACTTTGCATTTATTAACATTGAATTTCATTTGTATATTCAGTAGCACTTTCGATGAACATTTTATCACTTAGCCTAGTATTCGGTATTGATTCAAACTGGGACACGGCAGGCAACATTAGTAGCAGCCACTGTCACAAATCATTTGGTTGGAATGGGTTGGTAGCCGTGTTTTTCTCATCTCCGTCAAATTCCATCAAATACATAAAGAGTGTTGCCATCCTCCCTGCGGAATGAAGGAACAATTGTGCCTGGTATGTCGCACAGATTCCTGTGCAGCTGGCAACTGCTGTCCTTGTACATACATATGTACAGTTTTACCTTACAGTCTAAAGTCTAGCCTGCAGCCATACCATTGCCTGAAGTCATACCACCTCAGGCTGTGATCTCGTTTGATTTCACACGCTATGAAAGGTTAGACCTAGTCAGTGCTTGGATAGAAGATTGCCAAGGAAAACAAAACCAATCACAAGGGGGTTGCTGGCAATGGTAGGTGGCACTTCTCCCGCTGAGTACAGAGAGAACCAATGCCCTGGAATATTGCTTGGGGCACCATGCAGCTGGAGATGCCATCAGGCCTTAGATTCATCTGCTCAGGTTCCTTGAAAAAGCCCTCAACTGCTTACCTATCACTTGGATTAACCATTTGCTGCCTCATTGATGTGTTACCCATGACCATATGCCAGTCTCTGAATGGCTGTTTGGACCCATGAGGCATGTGCCACAAATTCAGAAACTTGATCTTAGTTTTTGGAAAGCCACCATATTAAAAATTATCATTTGTTTGTAACGTGCCCTGGTCTGTAGAGGTGCTGCTTTCCCTCTACCCCAGAGAGGCAAAACCTCAGTAAAGGCTGTACTGAGCTACAGGCAAACACTCAGCCCTATCTTGGCAGGGCGGTGGGGGATCAGCAGAGTGGAGTAATCCTTTCTCTATGACCACAGAGACAATCCCAACCTAATGGTGTAGCATCTGCAATGCTAGTACCCCCCATCCACAGCCTGGAGGAAATGTCCCAGAGTGTCTGCACAGTAGTGCATCCTGTGACCTGGCCCCTCGACCAACCATCACCTGTGCCCTGCTACAGACTGAGGCCCTAGAGAGCTACCAACCCACCCCTTATATGCAGCTCCCCCACACCTCACATATTAATACAAGATGACAGATTTATCTCAGGCTGTAAAAAACCTCATATGACTTTTTACTGTCCTGTTGGAGATAGTGATGATGTAATTAAACATAGTATGGTAATGCATTCGCAGAAGCAGGCAGAGTTAAGGTTGTGGCTTAATTTTGGCATTTCCTGATTTTCGGTGCTTAAAGATGCCACCTTAATACTTTCTGAATGTCGGTTTTCAGTACAGAATTTTATATATGACTTATCCTTTTCTTGTTTATGTGTCGCGTTTGTTGTAGAGTTGCTCATTCTAGGAGGTTGGGTTTTTCGAGCTGTTTTAAACTTCATTTTGAAGAGTTTATATAAAGCTTACTTCATCTGGGAGTCAGTGGGTGGCATTTCAAAATGGTAAAATGACCTTTCTAGAAAGAGGCAGGGGAATTTGAGCCTATCAGACTTGACAGCACCCCTTTAATTCAGTAATTGTACCACAGAAGGAATGGAGTCTCGGCTTCTCCCTTTTGCAAAAGATCTCTCAGACATATCCCCAGCCATTACAATGTATTTGCTTCTTGAATAATTGCGATAGAAAATGTTTCATGAGCTATCTCTATGGAAAGATGGAATAATACAGATAAAATATTCACTGCTTAATTGGATATTTTTTCTATATTTTAAAAACCCTGTAAGGCAGGAAAGCCACCATACCAATTATAATTAATTACATTCCTACATGTATGTTTAACATTGGATGATTTATACCTTTATGTACATGATTGTGTCTTTGATGAACCTTGTATCTGTCACAGGAGCTGTTGGTCTCACTTGCCTAGTTTTAGCCCTCCTTAACTGGAAACTTCAACAAGGCAAAGCAAATGAACACACATCAGAAAACTGCTGTTGCAGAACTCTAGATGAATCCCAGTGTGGTCATGAGCCAAGAAATTACCTCACTGAGGGATCCTGTAACTGCCACTTAACTCAGGAAAATGAAATAAAGGTCACGTCCATTGTGGGGTCTGGCAGGGAAATGCCACTTTTACAGGAAAACAGGCATCAAGCAACAGTAAAAGCAGACGCTCTGTCCGGAGGGCTAGACACACCACTCAGAAGCATTCAAAGAGAGAATGAATACAAAAAGAGTGGCTCATTTTTATGCCTTAAATGCAGAATGGTAGAATTATGTCCTCAAGAGCCTTATGAGAATATGTCTATAACAAACGAAGCAGGTGCCCTAACAAAAGATTTCCACAGAAGCGTTACAAAACCAAGCACCTTTGATCAGTGGGAAAATCTACAGACTACAGTGCTGCAGGAACTTTCAAAGACTGATGAAGGTGAGTTTCCTTTTTAAAGACAGTTCTGACAGGATCTAATGGCAGGCAGCAATATGAAACTTGAGATACAAAAGTAAATGTTCTCGGCCTGATTCTCCACTGTCATGTACCTTGGGCAGCAATTGATACTTGAGCAAAGTGGGTGATTTGGTAACATTTTACACCCACTCTGCATGGGTATAAATGATTATAACAAGTGCCATATAGTGAAGAATCGGGCCCAGACACAAGATGGTGAAAGTTTCCTGTGTCTGAAATTGGTGTAAGCTCATGCCTTGCTTTTGCTTAAGTAGGACAAGTGTGAGATCAGTGTTAAAGAGAGGGACATTTGGCTGTCCTTCTTTGGGACGCTGAAAAAGTAGACTGGTTTGTTGAAAAGCAGGGCAGTCCTACAAAAAGCAGGCTATCATGTTTCCCTAGTACCCCTTCACACTCCCAAAGCCTTTTCTCAATAGCAAGCTTGTCTTTAAGAAGAAACACCCCCTCCCTACATACCCAAATGACAGTAATGGGAGGATAGTGGCATTTGATATTGACATTTGACGGGCTCCAACTCTAGAGTGGCTATCCATCTTGGTGTAATGATATCGCAGCTAATACTCCTTATGGAGGGTGACAAATCAATAAAGTGATCTTGCATTGCCCTTTCAGGATGACAAGAAAGGCACACTGATTTTGTGGCAGGTGTTGGAAAATACCTGCATCTGCCACAGTCCCTGCCAGTGATGTAAATTTTCTTGCATTAATAAGTTTTTAAAAATGAAATGCAACAAATGTCTGATGTTTGGGGCAATCCTAAAATAATGCGTTCGTGCTATTGACCAGGTCTCCCTGCGCTCTCACAACCAGGGAATCTGGTCCCTAGGTGAATCTCCTTTCTGGAGGCAGAGCTTTCTCTCAGTACATGAAGTCCTTCTAGATATCTCTCTTCATGTCCTTTGCTCTTTCTTCTCAGCTTCCATACTGTTCCCTAGGTATGGTCTTCCCTCCTTAGCGGGAGGCAACACTCATCTTGCAAATTCATACGGTAACATTCACTGCTTTCAGAAAGCCTCATGAACACTCAAGCACAATAAAATCCTACCAATCTGCCACTACATTAAACATAACTCTAGGCAGGCGATTCCTCTGGTTCTCCCACTTCATTTTGTGATCTCTCTCTAGTTAGGTGAATTATGCAGACAACACGTAGTACATTAGCTGCTTTGAGAGCTCCTATGACAACAGCTCATATCCAGCAATTTATGGGTTTAGTTCATAACCAGAAATGTTATTGTAATATATTTGTTTCATACATGTTATCTGTTTTCCTTTTTAATGTAGAGATTTATTCCCCAGGGCTTCCAGGTTATTCTTCAAATGCCACATGTTTATTAATTTATTTTCTAAAGTTGCTACTTATTTTAAAATAGGATTTTAAGCTCTTTTATGATAGGAAATGAATCTGGATTTATTCATTTGCTTTCAGAAGTATCACTAAACTAATTGCTTTTTATGAATTATTCAGGGCTAAAGGCAGAGCTTTGGGAGAGATTTTCCAAAAGGTAAAAGTTATGGAGACTTCAGGCTAGATCACGAGAGGCGCTGAGCAAAATGGAGTTAATGGCAGATGCAGATTCTCAGCACCTCTCAATAGAGCTGTGTGAATAATGGATTTTCCAGTTTGTTAGCAATTCCAAAAAATCAGGAAAAAAAACTGGTTTGGGTGGAGCCAAAAATGAAATGTTTCAGAATTTTCAGCAAATCAAAAAGTAAAATCTAAAAAAAAAAAATACATTTCAGGTAGAAATGTTTTGTTTGACCCAAAACAAAACATTTCATTTCAATTTTGACGATTTTAAAGGTTTTGAATTTTTAAAAACATTTTAAAGGAAAAGTTGTTTCAAACCAAAAGATTAATGTTTCATGTCAAAATGTGTTGCAATGCAGGGTTTGGTGGTGGGTTTGGTTTTTCGGTTTTTTGACACAAACAATTTTGCAAAACCAACACAAATTGGAAAAAAGTGTCAGTGTTTCCAAATCTGCATTTTTCACCAAAAAAAGTTTTGCTGAAAAAAATTTCACCTAGAAGTACCATCAAGGCTTGATGAGAAGGAAATTTAGCGTTAGATTCCAAGGCCTTTATTCACATTAGTGAGCAAGTTTCACAAATAGTCCCACTGACTTCAATTGGGCTACTGCTCCCGTGAGTAACTGCTCGTTATTGATTAAAGATTTCACAATCTGGCCCCTGGTTTGCTGGCTGCAGGTAATTCTAATCCTCCCCTCCCCCTGGTCACCATCACTGTGGGCTCTTTACTAACCTAAAGGATGATCCACAAGGACACCACTGCTTGCTCTCATTCTATTGTCTAAGGGTTCACTCTCTCCACCTCTCTTCTTATACCAGGCGGGGAGGACAGGACAAAACATCAATATTGTGTGAATTGGCTCACTGAAGGGAATGGGGAAATGGTTCCTATGGTACTTCCTGCGTGGAGTCTGAGTACATCACCTGCATGATGCAGCCAAGTTCTATCAGTCTAGGCACTAGAGGTAACATTTTCAAAAGCACTTAAGTGACTTAAAAGCCTAAGTCTCATTTTCAAAAGTAATTTAGGCAGCTAGGAACCTAAGTTCCATTGACTTTCAATGAGACATAAGCTTCTAAATCTTTTTTGAAAATGGGACTTAAGCACTTCTGAAAATTTTGCCATAAAGATTCTTTCATTTCCTTCCAAACTCAAAATTCCCATATGACAATGCATCTCGCTGTCCCAAGACACTAGGTTGGTAAGAGCAGGGAAATGTCATTGAAGAAAAAACAAATACAGTTATACAAAGGAAAACTGAATATTATTCAGCAGAATATGAAGATAAACTGGAAGAAAGTGGGGTTCTTTTGGTTGGCCTTTATTATTTCACTTAAATAACAACAACAAAACATAGACTTAATCAAAGCCTTCTCCTGAGCTTGACTATTCCTAGGGTTTTCCCTGCAGATCACCTCCCTCCACGTCCCTAGTTCCCTGTGCAGACACCTAACTCATTGATATTTTGGGTGGCACTAACAAAATCTACCTGATGGCATGAGTCATAAAAATATTATTGCATCTTTATGCAGTATTCTATGTGCCAGACAGTACGGCATATCAGCAGAGGAGCCTTGTATTGCTATACCCAGTCTTTGAACGTACCGCCTGTTCCCCTGCTTTAACAAAACTATAATCACACACATTATTATATGGATAGTTCTGATTAAGATTGAAGTTTTCTAAACTTCTATCAGTTAATTTTAATTCAACTGATTAAAATGTGACCACAGTGTGTGAGTGTAATTGCCTCAGCACTGTAGAGTTAAAATGTTTTACCCAGATTGGACTGAGATGTTAGCTAAATGTTGGTGTTATGCCACAAACAGAGAGAGCTTTTTTGGCACTATATACATAGGTGTTCCAAACATGCGCTGTAATAAAACTCTTCCATGTGCTAAATTCTAACATTTATTATTCAGCAGATATAAGGCATGATGCATTTACTAGAAGATGTTCAACTCCTACGCCTGCCTTAGCAAAAGAGAGACTTGAAAAGCATTTAACAAATGAATTGTCGCAGTCTCCACCAGAAGCAGAAGACAAGAATTTAAAACCTCATAGGCAAAGATATTTTATTACCAGCTCATCATCAGCACCTAACACACCAGTGGAGTCAAAGGAACATTGTGTGCAAAAGACTTTACAAAGTCATAGATCACAACATGATGATCAACGTGGATTGCTGGAAAGGAGCAAAAATATTTCTTTGCAGCTACACAACTCCCTTATCTGTAAATATGTGAACTGTGATAAATTCCAGGGCTATACAAAAGAAAAGAAAGATAATCACAGGGAAAATTTAAAGTTGGAGAAAGAGCAAACCAAAGCTAATAGAAGAGTAGGAGAAGATTGCTTTATGAGTGATGAAGAGATGCCATTATCACCAGAAGTCAAGAAAAAATATATACCAAAGAGTGTTAGCTTTTATGTACCTGACCTGGCAACAATAAACAGGTTGGATGTGATGATGATGGACTCAAGTGAGGTAGGATCTCATAAGAAGAATGTTCAAAGAAACCAAGCTATCACCTTGGAAAGCAAAGAGCACAGCAGTTCAGAAGCAAGAAGTGAAGAAGGTAAATTGTCTTCTGCTAAGGGAGATATTGGAAGGAAAACCTGGGTGAGGAAAGATGAAGCCAACTGGAAGAGTAAAATGAAAACTAAAGGACAAGACTTTTTAACTGTAAAATTAAATTTACATCCCTTCAGAAAAATGAGAATCCACCCAGAGAAATCACCTTGCAGTGAAAAAACACAACAAAAATCCAACCATCAACACAAAGAACCACCAATTGAATCCAAGAAGAAACTGTCACAGGCTTCCAACAAAGAGTTGACAAGAAAAAAAAGAAAATCAAACCAAGGGTCTTCTGCAGTTCCCCAAGATCAGCCAGGTACCAGAGAACAGAAGGAGATTTATTCCAAAAAAGTTGCTTCGCAATTCTCTGACAAGCAGACCTTGGCCAAGAGCAAAAATGCCGAAAGTGAAGCTATTATAACAAGTGCTGATGTAGCAGAATTGTCTGAAGAAAAGTGCGATAATCCAATAGTGAGTGTCCCTCATCCGTTCAAGAATATTTCTGATGTAAGAAATTCTAAAGATCTCACATCTGTGCTTGCAGAAGCTGTAATGTACAACAGTAACTTACCTCCACCCTCAAAGGAGACTGCGAGATGTATTACTCCAACTGTATCTCTTGCAACTCAGAATTTAGCAAGTACTTCACAAAACGGGGCAAATGACATTTCCATATCCCTGTATTCTAGAGAAGTAAATGAAGAAGACACAGGGGCTACAGAGTCATATGGATACCAAAATTCACAGATGACTACAAGAAAGGAAAAGGGTTGCGATTCTTCTTCAGCTCTTATTATCCAAACACAAATCCCAGGCAACTTGCAGACAAAAAATCCCAACAGTGAATGTGATTTGGAACTAAAGTCAGTTCTGGAGGATACAGTGAAAAATGTCAATCAAGGCCAGATGGACAACCGAGTATTAAAAAGCCAGAGTGAAAACTTAAACAGGATAGAAAGATTGAAGAGTTGTGAAAAGGCTAAAGAACATGAATCATTAGAAGGAAATCTACTTGCTGTGGACTCTTATACTTTCACTGTCATACCACATATTCCACCAGCTATCAACCCAATTTCAACAGAAACATATTTTGTTCCCAAACAAAGTAGCACAGAGCCTCCAAATCACATCAGTAGTTTGCTTCTGTATACTGAAGCCAACGAGCATTTAACTTGTAGTAGCAAAGATGGAACTGACAATACTGATAACCCGCATGGAACAGTTAACACTGAAGATGAGGGGGTAAAAATAGAACAGAGAGAAAATAAACAGCCACCTAATGACAATGAGTCATTGTCTGAAGTGCTAATCCCAGACACACAAATGAACTCGGATGGTATAGCCGAAGACATACCACAAACTCAGAATGATGTGGAGAGTGAAAAATGTAAATTATTTTGTACAAGCACTGTCAAGGTATCTATTATGTCTAATACATCCAGTATCCCCAGTTCTCCTAAAACTAGAAATATACTACCATGTAGCGACATCAATTTTCAAATAAACAATAATATGCACATGAAGAATGTGCAGAATTTGCAACACATTCAAAACAATCAACCTGATGAAGATAACAATATGCATGAGAAAGGTGACATGCCACTGGAAGAGCACAAAGAGCCTTCTGTGTTACCAGAGTTAAAAGACATTAGTTTTGAGGCAGAAAATGAGGTGCCTTTAATTCCTAGCAGAATAAATGATGCTGAAAACTCTGCTCCAAAAGCTACACTGTACCCACCATCTGCTGAATATGCTAATACATCACCTTTAGAGTCAGAACAAAGTGAGGAAAATAACTCAAATAACAATCACATTCCTCTTTTGCTTTCTTCAAAACTACAGACAAACAACCCCAGCCTTTCTGAAAATTCAAAATTCATTATTGTGGCAGAAAATTTCAACAAGTCAATGAACATAAAACAATATTTGATTGAATGTGATGAAAAAATGCAAGACCAACCAACTAGAGACATTTTACTTGATTAACTGAATACCATTTCTGGGGAAAGGAGAAGTCAGAAGAGAGACACATGTCTGGTATTGTCAGAGCAGCCAAACAGTAGAATTCAGGATAAGAGACTCAGAAAACCAAACAAGAGAAAGATAAAACAGGGAACTGTTAACTGACCAGAGCAGCAATTGATATTTATGATCTGGAATATATAGCATGTATTTCAGGCAATGTACAAAATTACATTTACAACTACTATAAACATTAGTGCTTCCTACTATGTACAGGTTACATTATTTAAAACATTTCTGTGATCCGTTTATTGCAGTCTTTGTTGAAGATAATGTAAACCCTTCTTTTTATCTGTAACTGTTACATTCTATTTTAAATTCACCTAGATCTCTAAGATTTCTGGTCTCCTGGAGCTGTAAAACCTTTTATACCCATTAAGTTATTTTGGGGGGAAAGGAACTAAATGAAATTTGGCCCAGTCTTTGGGGCAACAGTCTGTATAAAGCCTGGTAAATTATGTTTAACCACTAGGTGGAGATCTCTGATTCAATCTTTTCAGACGCTCAGAATAATTAGCTAGAATAGCTACAAGAAAACAATGGTTGTTCACAGTGGTACAAGAACACAATGAGGGCAGGGGACTGGACTTGATGACCTCTCGAGGTCCCTTCCAGTCCTAGAATATATGAATCTATGAATCTATGGTTTCTATACAGAAAGGGGGTTAAGCAGCTCCAAGAGACTTGCATCTCCTCATAGTTATAAACTTAAGGTTTTGAAAAATAAATATCTCATTAACATATCAACTTCCTAGGACTGATCTCTTGGGCTAGGCAACACATTATCATTTGGTTTTAGCAATCCTTCTTATGAGAGAAGAATGGGCCTTGGAGAGCAGGAAACAAAATAAAAAGAAAATGTATATTTATGACAATGACATTTCATGGAATGTACAGAAAGAAAAGATCCTACTTAAGAGATGTAGCAAGTTAAGAAAAGTAGAAAGCACCCAGAAGCATAGAACACTAGGGGCCAAGTCCATAAATCCCTTGCATAAAAATATGTCCCAAATAATTGGGATACTGTTTCCCATTTCCTTCAGACACAAGAGTTATGAAAACTCATAACTCATGATTGCTGGCCATTTACTCTGTTTCAACCAACTCGCAGTGTGTCCCATACTATTGTGCACATTAGGGGCTCTTTAAAGTATTAATTTCCCTAGAAATTAACTGGAAATTTAACATCTAGCTTTCTTCCTCTTGTTCTGACTTCTACATGTCTCATTTTTTTAGAACTGTACTAATATAGAGGCAGGGGAGGTTGGACAGTAGCCTCAGGGCACTGTACAAATATAACTAAGCACCTGTGGAGTAACCTGGATCCTCTCTTTGAATATATGGATTTCATTTTGTCCAGAGAAGAGAAACCCAACAATTTAAAAGAGGATTTAGAAATGGGCCATCAGAACAGGTTACAACCTCCCACTTCTTCAGTATAAGTTATAACACTGGCCTCATATTGGAAACATCAAAAGGTTTTTGTTGCATGCCTAAATAATTATTTTCTTCTCCACATAATCCATCTACTCTTTTCCTTTTTACCTCCTTTATTTGCAGACTCTTGTAGATCCACTTCCCCTCTCTCTGCAGACCTCTTTTCTGCCACACCTTTCTCCTGCATTTCAATCAGTCTCTTTTCCTTTCTATTTTTTCAGCCCTTTGGTTTCTCTCTTTTCCTTTCCTTCTCCTAATCTTCCTTTTGTGTCTGGCTGCAAGATTAAATAAAATACTCCTTCTCCCACCCAATAGAAAGCCAAAGCATATGATTAATTTGGGACTGAAAAACAAAACAAAGTAGAAAAACCCCAACCATAAAGTAAGCACAATGAGCAAAAGGAAAGGTGTGTTTAGCATCCCCCACAAGTAGTCAATGTGTAGCAGACGTATGGTATATCTACCCAGATTGACTTCACATCATTACTGTCAATCTCTTTTATATGTGAAGTTCAAATATTAAACAAATTAAGGGCTTGATTGAGACTTTAGGCAAGGGTGGTACATAAGCAACATTACCCTAGTATTAGCCCTAGAAGGCTTTGTGACTCAGAGACATGCTGTTGAGTCTCAAATCCTTCCTTACTACCACCTTGCTCCCGCGCAGAGGTCTAGCAGTTTGCTGATGGCTTATGTCAGCAGTAAATACAAAACCTGTTAAACAGGCTCAGCTGTGTTTGCCAGTGCATGGAGGAGGGACATCTAGAGCCAAGGTCATGCCCACTCCTCACCCCTCCCAGCCTACTCTCCAACCACCCGCGATGGAGGGTGGAGTAAACAGTACCCACACTGCCGGTTCAGGCAGCCCATCAGAGGTATAATGGGAGTCCTTACTCCCTCATATGCGCACACAGGCCAAGTCACAATTTAGCCCCAAATGAGAAGTTGTAAGAGCAAAATCCTGTCTACGGCCTATGCAGACGCCAAACTCAGAAGGGATCGAGAGAGCAAAGTGTTCTTCCTTCTTTCTGTCTTCTCTAAAGCCACTGAGAGGCTACTTTCTGAGCTGTCTGCCTGTCTGCAAGTGTTCCGTGAACGGTGTTTCAGAAAAGCATTCTAGGTTATGAGTCGGGGTGTAGTTCCTGAGGAGGAAGGATGGTCCAGTGATTAGGGGCACAAGCCTAGAACTTGGGAGATCTGGATTCAAGTCCCTGCTCTGTCACAGACCTCCTGTGTGATCTTGGGCAAGTCGCTTGGCCTCTCTGGGCCTCAGTTCTCTATCTATAAAATGGGGATAATTGCACTTCCCTCCCTAACAGGAATGCTGGGAGGATTAATATAGTGAGGTGCTCAGATACTAGGCACTGTTTAAATACCTTAGATAGATATCTAGCAGATAGTGTGTGGCACTTACATACCTGGTCAAATCCTGAGACCCACTTCTTTCAATCTGCTCTGCAGTGGTGATCCTCGTAGAGCCCTACTGAAGTCAGTAAGGCTTGGTTTCTGCCAGTGCAGAATAGCTTGCAGGAATGGGGAGCTAGAGTCCCACAGCCTGGCCTTGAAGATTTAAAGCCATTTACTGATATAGATACCCAGCTTGTATTTAGGAATCAAAACAAAAGATGTTAATTATGATACCAGTTAGGTTTCTTTGTGAGGGGAGTAAGGACCAGCAGTCCCAGCCTGCACTGTTTCATGACACTGGGGACTTGTCTACACATACAGTGCTGCAGCCGTGCTGCTGTAAGGCTTAGTGAAGATGCTCCTACGCTCACGGGATAACTTCTCCCATCGCTGTAGGTACTCTACCTCCCTGAGAGGCGGTAGCTATGTCGATGGAAGAAGCCCTCTATTCGATGTAGTTCTGTCTATACCAGGGGCTAGGGTCATTCAGCACACCCCAAGCGATGTAGTTATACTGACATAAGTTCCAAGCCTGAATCAGTATTCCCCTTAGAGGTTTATGCTGGGATAGAAATTTGTCTGCAGGAATTCATTAGTAAGAGACTCCTCAAAACAAGTGTGAGCCTTTCTGTCGTAGTGCTTTCTATATTGTCAGGTCACCATAATAACTAGGAGCCTTATAAAGCCAGAAAAACGGAAGGTGGCAAATATAAAAATACCCACTTGTTCACCTTCTCTCTGAGGCTCTCGGCAAAATAGCCATTTACACATGACAAACATTGGTAATCACTACTTCATAGGTTAAAGAAGTGGGAGCACTTACCTCAGGACATGCATTCCAGCCCCTCATTAACAGTGATGATATGGGCTTGGGAATTGAATACCCTATTGGAGGCCGGATGTGATGATAGGCCATATCTGCCGCTGCTGCAGCTACAAATAAATCAGTATAATAAAGCTTAATTACGATTCAGATATAAAAAATATTCATATGCCAACACATTTTACTTTAGTATTTGAATGAAAAACAGATATGAACAGATGGAAATGCTTAAGTATTAAACTTGCAAATGGAGTGGGTCAAAGAAGCTTTCAAAACCATCAAAGCTAGACTAGACTAGATGACCTGGTGAGGTCTCTTCCAACCCTAATATTCTATGATTCTATGAAAGCACTATTTTTAATGCACTAGGTTAAAATGACCAACTGCCCTGCACTGATGTTGACACATTTCTGCCGATGTTTAGCCTGGCTGAAAATGATCTGATTCAGGTGTAAACCCTTAAACAATAACCTTTGAAAAAAACATCAATTGACCCTCACCTCACACATGACATAATAAAGAGAGAATGACTCAGCAGCTTTCAATAACATGCATTAGATGCATTTGACTTACAGATAAATTGGTGCCAGATTCTGACTTCCTAAAATAACCTGTAGTTAGCTCTGGTATGGCTGAAGACTAAAAGTAATTCCAAGCATTCATTTAACAAACAAATAAACAAACAAAAAAATCAGAGTGCCTTTTTATATGTGCTAGTTGCGACTGACTAAGAAAAAATTGCCAGAATGTTTCCCTAATTGTGTTTATATATACAGTGATTTAAAAAACATAATTAATCCCACTGCATTCTCTTAAAACAGCTTAGCTGTGGAAAGTCAAAGCAAATGTATGCCAGCCTCATAGCAGGAGCAAAGTAAAATTCTTTGTTAAACTGACACGATTAAGTGATACATCACCGGAGTATATAGCATTTGAGGGGGACCAGGAGATTGCAATCTTGAGATTGTAACAAGAATGGTTTAATTTTTTTTAACCATATCCCATTCTCATTACAGTCTTTGTCACAAGAATAGATTAATTTGTGCCATTGTCTGTTCTCATTGGAATCTTTGTCACTGTAATGAAGTTTCGGAATGTTAATATCAGATACATTCTGTGAAATGTTGCAGTACGCTGTAGGGATGGGCAAACACATTTTGCCTAATTTTGATCCCATTCTAATGTGGGTTTGAAAGTGTGATTCAAACATTACTGGGTTCATGTTCTGCTTGGTAGAGACAGTGAATAGGAACAGATGGGGGAAAAAGATGTTAATGAAAAATAAATATAACTTACTATCGAATCTATCTATCTATCTATCTATCTATCTACACCACTCTCCTCTTTTCCCACAATATACTACAGGAAGACTGTGCTATGTATTAGGGATAGAAGAACACCCAAAAATTTAGTTTGACACAAGTAGACTATGCATGGTACGATATATACATACACAACGGAGTACTGTGATCTCTCTCTCCCTCTATGTGTGTGTATCACACACACACACACACACACACACACACACACACACACAAGAGGATAGTATGTGTGTGTGTGTAAAGAGAACTAGGTGCATGATGCAAAAAAAGCATTGATAAACATCAATTTTAATAAAAATTGCAAATTTTTGGAACTTATTTGACCCCTTTTATTCATTTCCCATAGACATTAATAATAGGATTTTTTTGTTTTCAAGGGTGTTCATAGAAAGAGAAACTGTCATGGAAATTCATAGAAATACTTGCATGAACAGTTATGTAGATACTTTGGAAGAGTCCTATATAATTTTATAACAATGAAAAATAGGTTTCTATATAAGTTATGTGAAATACCATAGATTTTAATCAAGAACAGTCTCCTTTCTATATGTTACATGAACCATTCTATTGACATTATAAACAATGGGAGATACTAAGGAATACATTCTTTTTACTATAAAACTGAGGGAACAGCTGTATTTAAAAGTCAGCTTTCTGACTGGGGAACGCTGTTCACCATATTAAAAACTCATGACACATCAAAGATGTCTACACTTGGACTGAGACTGAGATGGAAATAGACTTGTTGAAAGTCTCTGCATAAGGATAAAAGGGGTAACAAACAAGGGTGATGTCATGGAAGGGGTCTACTATAGGCCACCTAACCAGGAAGAAGAGGTGACTGTGGCTTTTTTTAAACAACTAACAAAATCATCCAAAGCACAGGACTTGGTGGTGATGGGGGACATCAACTACCCAGACACCTGCTGGGAAAAAAATACAGCAGGGCACAGATTATCCCAACAAGTTCTTGGAATGCATTGGAGACAATTTTTTATTTCAGAAGGTGGAGAAAGCAACTAGGGGAGACAGGCTGTTCGGGATTTGATTTTGACAAATAGGGAGGAGGAACTGGTTGAGAATTTGAAAGTGGGAGGCAGCTTGGGTGAA